AACGCGAGTTTTGAGCAGTGTAGAGTAGCACTTGTTGTTTTGTCATTTCTCCGATCACAAATGCAGACATTGTTTTATGTTTACCATTAACGCGTAAAAAGACAGTATAAGTCATTATAATCCATAATTATGTCCCCACTGGATGCAACGAATGCCTCGTTTATAATGGGTTTTCATGTTTTTGAATCGTCGCTCCGGCCTGACAGGGCATCATCACAATATGGTAAGGGGCGTAACATTTCTGTCACACGCTTGAGGTATTCGGTCAATCACAATGCACTGGATAGCTGGCCAATCACAGCACACCTCACTTTTTCAGGCCGATGAGCTTTGTAAAAATCGACGCGTTTCAGAAAGGCGGGGCATAGAGGAGAAACAATAATGTACAGTATGTGGAAAATAATGTGTTTTTTTAACCTTAAACCGCATAAACACATTTCATTACACCAAATACACAAAATAATGTTATTTTTAGCAGCATCATATGACCCCTTTAATATCAATTACTGGTATGTGTCTGAAACTGTAGAGTGATACATACAATGTATTTACATATCATTCATATTTACATATTAATCCAAATGCTGCTCCCAGTGGCATAGGCAGCATCAGAATGTTGAAAACTTAAACTTGGAAATTGAACTTGGAAAAACTTATTTTTACTTCTTGTTTTTACTCAAATGTAAATTTGCTGTGCATATATTGTAACTTGAATCCGTAGAAAAACACAGAATGTCCTGGCAGAAAATTAACAGTATCTTTACAGACAGTCACTTAATTGTGATGTATTTTGTTTAGCTCTAATGTAGCACAGAAATCTTTTGACACTTATAATTGGACTAGCCAGAGCGATACAGCTTTTTTAGAGATGAGAGAACCATTTTGCTATAACATCAAATATGACTGTCGAGCCATAGCTGAATATGTCCCATTCACATTCATCAAGGTTGAGCTCTCTGTTTCTCCCCAGACCTCAATGTGCCTCATTGAGTTATGCGTTAGCTTATCCCACACATGTCCCCTCTAACTGGTAACGTCACATATCCAACACACACGGCTCACTCTAATGGGAGCAGAGGTTACACAGCAAGCCAGGGCCTAGCTGTAGGAAAACTGGGCTCAGACAGCACCGGAAAAGAAAGTATCATCTAGATCCCTGCAGAACCTTTTGATGTGATAAGCTGAAGACTGGCAGATGTGGCCATCGCTGAAGCTAAAGCTAATGCAGCATGAGTTCTGGTTGTAGTCTTTTCCTGCCAAAATCGTACACCACCTTCAGATGAGAAGTTGCTCAGCACCAGCCGGGCTGGTCTGTCTGCTAGCTAAAGGCCTTCAGTGTTACACAATGGACTGATTTGCCTCAGGGTCTTTATCCTGAATGGTGTGTTCATGCATTTTAAGGCAGAACCAAAAAAAAAAAAATATCCCCATTTGCTGTTGTCTTTCTAAACATATAATTCATATTACATATGTGACCCTGGACCACAAAACCTTAAAGTCTTAAGTCGCTTGAGTATATTTTTAGCATAAGCCAAAAAAACATTGTATGGGTCAAAATTATCGATTTTTCTTTTATGCCAAAAATCATTAGGATATTAAGTAAAGATCATGTTCCATGAAAATATTTTGTAAATTTCCTACCATAAATATATCAAAACTTAATTTTTGATTAGTAATATGCATTGCTAACAACTTCTTTTGGACAACTTTAAAGGCGATTTTCTCAATATTTAGATTTTTTTGCACCCTCAGATTCCAGATTTTCAAATAGTTGTATCTCGGCCAAATATTGCCCTATCCTAACAAACCATACATCAATGGAAAGCTTATTTATTCAGCTTTCATATGATGTATACATCTCAATTTCCAAAAATTGACCCTTATGACTGGTTTTGTGGTCCAGGGTCACATATCATTACGTGGGTGGTGCTAATTCAAATATTAAAACATGTCATAGCAATTTCCAGGACTTTTTATCTAACCTTTGATACATGTGCAATACCTTATATGAATGATGTTTCATCGGCTCTGTTGTCCACAATCAAACATTCGCCGCCCACCAGTTAACCACAGATCTAGAAGGATAGTCAATATAATTCCTATTTTATGATACAAAAACATATGAGACATACAGTATCTACATTATTTATCTTTAAAAAAAGTGCCTTCTGATGTTTGGATGTCTGTTCATCAGCCAAGCAGACACAGATGTTGCCCAATGCTGATAATCATGCACAATGATAAGCATGCACACACTTGTTTTGTAATATCTTGCCAACCACATATTTGATTGCCTATATAGTCTATAATATAACAATTTCTAAATATTTATTTTTCTTTATTCCTCTCTCAGGACACAGCACTGGATCCAGGAGAAGATGTGGCGCTTCTGTCTGTTAGCTTCGAAGATGCTGAAGCCACACAGGTCTTTCCAAAACTCTACCTGTCACCCAGCATTGAGCAGTGAGTGACTTCACCCTATTCCATTCAAGTGAAAATTAATTTCCCCAGGTCATACAAACGTGTAATGTTAAAGAAGCTCAGGAGATTGAGGCAGGATATATTAAAGGACTAGTCCCTTTTTAATTGCAAGTAAAAACATGAAATGCTGCTAACTGTGTGGTACATGGTATTTCAGGGGTGGGCATTCCCATTCTAACATTTTATTTCCCTAAAAAGTTCACCCCATTTCATGGACAAGAAAGACTGTAAATCTTAAATTCTTGTATCTGCTAATAATAATTTCATTGTTAGTAATAGTAGTAGTAGTAGTAGTAAATGTGGCACGAAATGGATGTTGCAGTCATCTTTTCATCTCATTTTAGAAAAATGTAGGGTGGGACTTGATTTTGTCCACCAGGAATTGATCGCTGGATCATTGTCATTTGCTATTTCTGCGATTGACAAGAAAAAAAAATCATGATTGAACAGACAAACCTTTAATAATAAACATTGCAATATTCAATTTAGCAATTTTCAATTTTGATTTCATAATGACTTTTGTTGTTTTATCTTTTAGAAGTACACTAGAAGGCCTCACAGCTAATTGTCTAAAAAGCACATATACTTGATTTTGATGTAAACATACAAGATAAAGCTCTATAAACATAGTTAATATCATATTCAAAACATCTAATTTTTCAGAAAGTTATTAATACACGACTGTGTGAAAATTGCTTTCCAGATCTTTAGTGCTGTTATTTAAGAGATTTAAGCACACGACTCATGACACACCTTATCCAACCGCCAACTTGAGTAAATGAACTAAAGGCAGCACTTCCTATTCTGCTGTTTACTTCCTGAAATCCTGGAGGAATTGAGAATCAGTCAGTAAAAAAAGTTGTTCTGTTTACGCAAGGACGAGAGCCGTTATTAAAGGGTTCAGTAATTGATGTGACTTGCAGAACATGACATTACTGACTGTTTTCAGTTGGTGTACAAAACAAAGCTCTTCCCACCTGTTCAATATTTGTGCAATACAACCTGGAATTAATTTGATCTTGTGCACCATAAATGAGCAGTGGAACATGTTCATAAATAGTGGTACTCCACTCCTGCTTTATTAATTTCATGTGACCTTGCTACAACTGTTTAGTGATTTACAGATGATCAACATCCTGACAATACAAAACCGAGAATTATGCCTTCTGTTCCCTGCCCCTGCATGCAGGGAGTGCAACAGTGAACAGCGGCTTTTTTAAATGGCCTTGGTTCTTGAAGTGTTTTCACCCATTTATTTTCTCCATTTCACCCTTAGAGCTCATAGTATGTCTGTACTGAAAAGCTCATACATTCTAACTCACAATCAGAGTTTCTATGGGAAAAAAGGGCTTTTAACTTCTGGAACCCTGTTATTGTGCTGTTTTAAGCCAGATCTGTATCAGCTGAGGTTTCATCAATAAATTATGATTGGTAATTTAGCTAAAATATTTTATATGTAGTCAAAAATGGAAGAATAAAGTTGTAATCTACTTTGTCAAACATGAAATTTGCAAAACTGGCCGTAGTTAGCCCAACATTTCCCTCTACCCTCTGCAGTATCTAGAACACAAGGTCACTTCTCAGAAGGAATGGAGGAAACTTCAGTGTGACTTCACAACAGATAGATCTCAGTGGGCAAGGTCTGCTAATGCCAGCCTCTGGGAGCCTGATGAATTTTTTTTTTGTCTTTCACTCTCTGTGCTGTCCTCCATCCACTCAAATCAGCGTAGCGAGAGGGGAGGAGGAGGAGGAACAAGCCTGTTTGTTTGCTCTCCAGCCATGTCAGCTTCTATCTGTCATGGCCACAGTCTCTCCACCCCGTTATATTACACGGGTTTGGATAATACAGGAGCACACAGGGTTGACCTTGCCTCCATGCATGCACGTTAACAGCTCAGACTAGGGCGACTTAGGAGAAGAGACGGGATGGGTGTATGTGTGTCTGTGTGTGTGTTTTTTTTTTTTTTTTTTTAAAATGGAAGACGCAGGG